AAGTGTCTTTCGAACGTGTACTGACAAGTTTCGCTATCGCGCTATAAAAAGTCGGTCAAGCGGAACGGCGTCGTCAATCAGCTGAGAGATTGAACCTGAAAATCATTAAAAGCGTGTTGTTACAGTAGACTGATCAAAACGCCGTCATATTGTCGCCGCCGGTCGGATGCTGGTATCGTCCGTGCACGTTCACAAAGCGTTCGAGGAAAAACGAGGCTAAGCATCAGGACGAGGACAAGGACGAATGGAGAACCGTCTGTCGATGATGCGGCAGAGCGCTGTGTGTCGTAAAATAAGTTTTCGCGTATTTTTGCCCCCGTTAAACAAAGCACACCCGAAGGTCGATGAGTGGGTGGGTGGGTCTTTTCGCAGAGCACTGACCGAACCGATTCGTTGTCGTCCGTCTTCTGTTGTCTGTGGCCTTGGCCGCCTTTGTCACTGTCCGACAGCTGACTATGACATTCGCCTCCGGCCTCCGCCACGGCAAGCTTCACAACGACTCTCAGCTGATCGCTTCCCTCCGGCATTAGGTGTCGACGGCCAGGCGGCAACAGCTCGTTTCCTCATTACCTCTTTGGTCCTCTTGTTGGGTTGGTTGGTGTATCGGATGTACGACAGCCGATTGTCGTCATCGTCGTCGTCGTTCAGTCTCTGTTTGCGTGCGCTGCTTGTGTCCCCTCGCGTTCGTTCACTCTCATTCGTTGCGTATGCTCAGCCGCGAATTTCTTTTCAGCGACCTTCTGTCCGTCTGTCTGTCCCCCTACCCGTTGGTCCGTCTGTCGGTTGTCCATTTTCGGTGTCATCACGATCGATACGTCTGGGACTCGGACAACCAATGAAGACTTTCCAGGCGTACCTGCCTTCCGGAAGTCGAACGTACAGCTGTGTGCATTGTCGAGCCCATTTGGCCGATCATGACGATCTCATCTCCAAGGTACGTCGTACGCTGGTCGCTCGTTTTCTGTCTCCTGTTTTCTGGTTCGTTCGCCGCACTAACCACACTTTCCCGTTCTAGTCGTTCCAGGGCAGTCAAGGAAAGGCCTACC